GATAAACATCTAATTTCTCCTTACTGTTTCACCCCTAAGTCACACATTAACCCTTTCAATCCCATGAGTGACCAAGACAGAATTTTTTTTCTACAATATTAATACAATATCAACCATGTAAGTGATGAGAATGAAGGCAAATATCAATTTGGGGATAGTTAGTTGATCCAATACTAAATTCTCTGAACTAACATCAGAAGAACTGTATAGTTGACAGTAAGAAGAATTACAAATTTGATCTGGGAGTTAAAGGATTAACGTCATGAGAATAAAAAAAATGATCACCAACTAAATAAGCTCAAGTTGATTATTAAACAGATTCTCCTAATGTCAGCACCTTAGGAGATATTTAGAGAACAGTATGGAGAATATACATACTGATGTTAGGGTGTAAAGGATTTAATTATGCTGTATTAACCAATCCTACCAAGAGTAACCCTCCTTCCACCTATCCTTTGTGAAACTCAAAAACTGAATGGCAGAAATAATTATAATACAATGTAAATAATCACAATTAAAATCTATCAAATATTTTTGCTTGCACACATGATCTAAACACATCATGTTCCCAACTATTCCTTTGCTAAAGCTGGGGAATATCCCAGGATATACCCCACCTTATGTCCACTACAATGAGTCTTTGTTAGAATTTCATTCAAGATGAGAGTGTATTGTGGTTGATATAGAAGAGACATGTTTTGTTTGTTCCTAAAGTCAATGCGAAAAAAGAACTGAAAGAGAACATTTTCCGGCAAAGTGCAAAATATTTGAAGGATGATAAATGCAAAAGCCCCCATTTGGTGCAAAAACAATGCCCTATCTTAAATCATGGGAGCCAAAGTATATTTTTTAATACAGTCATGAGAGAAGAGGTTAAGGGGCAGAAGGGAAAATACTACCTGTGTACACCAGGGCCCAGGTGGATAAAGGGCAGATCATGCTATTTGACAGATAAATTGCTATCCAGTGGATAAGTGATAGCAAAACATATGGCGTTATCCACTGGATAGAGTCTTATCCAGTCAATAGCATTATCCAACCTTCAAACTACTGGTACCAGTTTGGTAAGTAATTGAAGCTATACCATTATATTATTCTTTACATTTCAACAGATGCCCACACTACTGCAGGGTGACTGGGAGCATTTAACCCTTTAACTCCCAAGATCTATTTTAATCTATCTCCCCTCTTGCTGCTATACATTTCTTTCTAAACTAGTTTGGAGAATTTGGTGTTAGATCAAGAAAAAAAATTTCTATGTGATAAGTTTAAGTATTCTCATTACCTGTTTGCTATACAGTGTATGGATATTATGGGAAGAAGTTATGTATGGATATTATGGGAAGAAGTTACCCTTCAATCACTTCTGGAAGTTAAGGATTAACAGTATTTCTTTTAAATTCTCCCATTTCCAAATGACACAAATGCTTTTTTTCATCACAAATTTTGGTTCCAGGGCAAAAGGACAATCAGTATTCTTAGCTTCTGATCTATTAGCCTGCTGTGCAGGCATCTTGTTAGGGCGAGTCATGTTTGATTTGGAGGTAGAGTGGACAGCATCCCCACCCTCACCCCTCTCCTTATTTTTGACCGTCAACCGCCCCCTCAATACAAATTTCTTTCTCTCCCCAGCCTTCCGCTGCCACTAAAATCAAAGATGGCGGCCATAATTTCCGTTAGGAAAATACTGAGCACTCGCTCGCCAAAATTACCCCTACTCTGCAGGCTACCGATGTATAATTATTGAGCAAGATAAGAGAGGTAATATATCCTTAACCTTGCCATTTTTATCGGGAAATGCCTATAAAATATGCTCCAAGTCTAAGTTCAGATCTCTCTAATTTTAACAAGGTCATGCTCAAATGACGATTAGTCAAATTGCGGAAGAAAACAGAAATGACCAAATAAACGAAGATCACAAGCAAAACCAGTTTGGAACCCCATTCTAGACCCACACCTTTATAAAAATTATATTTCAGGCTGGAGGGTAATTAAAGTAATTAAGTTAAGATCTTTCTAACCCCAACAGGGTCACGATCACATGAGAATTAGTCTAAATGCGGAAAAAATTGATATGACCAAGTTCATGAAGATCACCAACAAAAGTATTCTGGAACACCATTATAGACCCACACCTCTATAAAATTTATATTTCAGGTTGAAGGGTAATTTAAATAACAATAATGAAGCCATCATGCTCAACAGATGTTTCGCATTGCGATCTCACAGTCAAACACAAAACACTAGGCTACATTCGATTGCTGAGTGAGGAAGTTATTTGCAACATTGAAACCTACCATCTACTGTCCATGCATTCGCTTGAAGTCAAAGAGGAAGAACGTATATTAACGATGTCGATTTACCAACGTGTTGCACTTGCTTGGTTGTCAATGGAAAGTTGTTCCCATACTCAAATTGTGAAATACGCTTACCATTTTACCAACATGACATAAGTGACAATACTAAGCAACATGTATCTGCCTCCCCGCTGACTTGTTCGATCGCGGGAGCTCTCAAAGTAACGCAACACGAAACGCGCAAGACCTCCCGGAGGTCTATGACGCGATCTGCTGCATGACCAGGCTCGCAGTGTCCTTCGAGGGTGTTGGAAGAGAAGGAGTGGGTCTTTAGTGGTTGCTCAGAGAAGATAACAAGTTGCAGCATTCGTTGGTGGTGTTTTTAAACTTAGCAGAAACCGTGTGAGCTCTGAAATGAGGGAACAGGTAACAGTCTAAAAAGGAGAGGTACCCGACATGTTTGATAGAGATAGCCTGTGCAGTTACGATCTAAAGGTACGATGAAACTCAAGCATTGCACAATTCAGCTTTTCACATGTATACAGTCATAACCGAATTTTTTAGAGGACAAAATATATCTTAATTAAGCAGTTAAGGCGCTAGCTCTTCACCTCAGGGCTAACTTTGATTAAAGAAGCAGTTTAACAGAGCCTTTACCGATTGGTATGTCTTCAAAGACTGGATCGTTTTCTTCAAATATCTCAATGTGCTTTGGGAGAGCCTTCTTACTCCTAAACGTGATTAAGTATCCAGTGTCTGCGAATTATCCACGCAGGCAAAGTGTGTTGAAAGAGGAGAAATGTCGATAGACCGGTAAGTGTTAACAAGCAACTCTGCCTTGTCAACTGTCTGTTGACTGTCTCCTGGAATGGTCATTATGGGCCTTCAAGCAAAAAGGACCCTGAATTCGAAAGCAAAGCAGGCTGAATTTCCTTACAGGCTTTCGTTTAACGCGAAACCATTAAAGCAAATGAAACTTTTTAGGTAAGGTGTGTTCAATTGGCTCTCTTGCGATCAGTTGTGTTGAAAAAGGTTGAAGCTTTATAATCAAAGCAAAATATACGCTCTGATGGCTGGATGTACCGCTGCTGCATACGTCGGTACTTTTTTGTTCATCAATTTGTGGTACATTTTGTTTACTTTTTAATTGATAGATTTAAATTTCAGTATAGTGTCCTCATTAGGAAGGCCATATCAAGTCAACCAAGGAATCAAGTACTTATAATAACTCTGACAATTTAGCATATAATCTCTGTCTTTTTTAACATTAATAGCTTGCATTTTCAGACTGAGAGAAAAAGTTCATTGTCATTCTTGTCTTTTAAATCGTTCAATGGGGGAGAGCGCTTAAGATTACTTGAAGCTTAAAATATTAATTCATTGAGCTAGATTTTTTAATAATTTTTAAGGTACTTCTTCTGCTGTTGTTATGTCGTCATTGATAATTTTATAACACGTCAACCCCATCCAGGTCATCCTCATTTGTCTTGACCTCTTGCACCAGATAATAGTCCTTCGACTCGTCAACTTTGTCAAAGTCAAAGTATTCAACTTCCTGATGCATCAGCTCTTCCAATCTTCCAACCAGCTCCTGGAAACTTGGCCGTTCATTTAGATCTTCTTTCCAACAGTCCAGCATCAAAGAATAACTGAAAAGAGTAGATAAATGGGGATTACTTATCATAGAGGTTTACGACAAACGACAGCCATGTAATAAAAGTAATTTCGAAACCAAAACGAGCCCGAGTATTTTCTACTAAATATAAACGTTTTACACTTGCGCTTATCACAAGAGTTATGAAGAGGAAGCGTAAGAAGTGAAACGAAGAACTCGAAAAAAGGTTAAAAGTTTACATAAAAAAATCAGATTTCTCAGTCAAATAAGCTATTATTCTTTCCACTGAGATGGAGAGAACTCGTCGGTGAGCTGGGGAACACAGTACGGGTTAATGAACGAAATCATTTTCCAATTAAACATATTTTGTAAACTGAAGAAGAATAAAATGATATCAGCTTTGCCCAAGAATAGAGATATACTTCCCTTTTCATTTCCATTAGTCTTATATAGATATTCGAAACTAAGTTTCATATAAGCTACGTACACATGATCTGAACACAATTCAGGTTTCTCCATCCGGTGGCCAGTCTTTAATAATCTCATGAGCTCTGCATTAGTCAGGAGTGGATAAGGTGAGCCCCCTAAACAAGTAAATAAATAAATAAGTACAATTAAGAAGAACAAGGAGGACTCCACGGAGGACTGCTTGAGTTAACGTTGCCCTTTAGGATCCTTGGTGCTTATCAATTTATGTAATCATCTCCGGCTCAGTTACAGAGTTAGATCTGACACTAAAGGGGCGGCGGAATGAAGGAAAAATTGAGCGTGTATTGTGTGAAAGTATTAGCTATTTTAATTTTATTACCAACAGTTGCAATTTCCCACAAAACCACTCCATACGACCACCTGAAAAGAAATAAAAGTCATTCCAAAATGACAATACTGCATTTGGATTCTTGTAGAGCCGCGCTGGACTCCGGGTAAAGATTTCCTAGGGCATTGTGTTGTTTTCTTAGACAGAGTATACTTAGCTACAGATGAACTGTCAGGGCAAGCTGACGAAATGCCTGGGGGTAGCCTGCGATGGACCAAGCATCCCATCCCAGGGGGGAGGGTCCGATACCTCTTTATACTTCATGCTAGAGAAACTAAAATAAGCTCCAGTTGGATGGGTTACTTGGCTCGAGTGCAGACTTAACTACACCTTTTTACTCATGTGCTTTTTAAATAATTTTAACTGAGACCCTTTGGTTCTTACTCTTTTTCTTGTCAAAAATTTATTTATGTAAATATCTTTCGTTCGCACCAGCTATTTACCGGAGCTTTTAGGTAAATGTGACACTCATCGATAACCGTTGGCAATAATTGGTCTTTGAGGCAGACATAGTGAAGATTGTAATATTGGAATTAGGTCAAATATACATTCCTTTGTCCCTTTGAGATAAATTCAAGTAGCTTGCGTGAAAGAGATAAAAGAGAGAGATGCGTGAATATTGCTTATAAAGGAATGATTTACCGTCAATAGAATTTATGATTGGATGCTGTAACTGTTATGAAACGAGAAAAAGTTACTAACACATCGCTTTTTGTAGTAAATATCTGTTCGTAAAGTGACTCAGGTGCCATCCATTTCACTGGCAGTTTCTTCTGCTTCTGCACCTCATACACCTCATGATACACTTCTCGCATCAAACCGAAGTCTGCAATCTTAAGCCTTTTACCGTGCCCGACAAGAACATTTCGTGCCGCAAGATCTCTATGAACGAGGCCTTTCCCAGAGAGGTAACTCTGAAAAATTAACACATTTTTGATTCGATAAAAGAAACCATCACCATTAGCTATCAAGCCTCGGTTGTTGGAGGGTTTGATGAAGATATATACAGCTATCCACTGGGCAAATCTATCTCTGATGAATGGTGCAGTGCGTTTTGCTATCACTTATCCGTTGGATAGCAACTTATTCTTTGGACAGCGTTATCCACTCATCACGCGACTGGGTCGTGGTGTATGGAGGAAGGGAGGTATTCTTCTTCTGAAAGGGTTTGATTTGTGACATTTTCAATAGCCGGGATTTGATAAATATTTACTCGTCCAGTGAACACAAGTTCTCGTGGCATTTTTGTAATGAAATTTTTAAGGTTAAAAACTTAATATCATCACTCAAACATAGAGGGAACGCTTACAAGATGAGAAACCCCGAATTCGTATATTACCGTGCTATATATAAGCGGCGCACATACACATGTGCACATGAACTAATCGCAATAAACGCGCTACTAACGATCTGCCAATAAAACGGATCGCATAGCTCCAACAGTACTTCGTTATGATTAAATATAGAGAAGTTACCAGAAATAGACTGGGGAGTAACAACACTCAGGTCTGAGTCTCTGTGTGCTTCTGCGTCATGAAAAATTAACAACTTAGACAATTGAGAGCAGTCCTTCATCACCGTTTAGTCCGCAGATTTCAAGTTTTTCTGACTGAAATCCTCGAAAAATTTAGATTTTTACAAAACAATTTTTCTTTGCTGCCAAAAGATTTCACAATTTCACAATTTTGTCAAAATTTTATTGCAGACCAGTTTCACTTACCATGCCTCCGGCTATCTGCCAAGCAAATGACAAAAGATCGGCTGGAATGAACGACTCGCAATCAACACTGCACTCGTCATTTGTCTTCCCTGAAGTTCCATCGGTTCCCTCTTCTGAACTTGAGAAAACAGCCAATGGTATTTTGCATTCATCTATGCCAGGTTGGCCTGAGACATCACCAAGACCAGGTACGTCCTCTGGTATTTCTCCCCTCCCATCACACTCTTCGTTAGTCTGTATTTCACAAAGCAAATTTTTTTACGCTTTATCCGGCTAACTGTTACCTCAGTGTGCTTTATGTTAACCAACGTAGATAAGTATGAAACAATACTCAAAAGTAAAATTAGCATGGGGAGTAGCTGCTATAAAATTCGTACGAAGATCGAATAAAGAAGAAACAAGAATTGCCTGTTGCGAAGTAAATAGGTCTAACACTTTTTTACCTGATCAACGGTTGGTCCAAAGAGAGCAGTCCTAGATCCTGCGTACAGATCGTTCTCCTTTGGTTTGCTGTCAGCCGAGCTGTTCATCTAAGCATACAACATTTTTTAAGCATCAGCTGGCATTAGAAATGGTATCAATAAGGAACAACTTAGAATTAATATACGAACCCCCTTAACCTATCTCAATACATGTCCCCTGAGATATCTGTCTCTTGTCGTGCTGACAAGCAAAGTCGGTATTCAGGTCTGAACAATGTTTGAAGTAAGTAATCTAGATTCTGTGAACGCTTTTTTGTATCTTCAAACACTTGGGACAACTGTATCATGGGTGCTTTAAACACAGAAAATAATTCTCTCTTTACCAGAGTATTTGAACTGTATCAATCATATCACATTCGTTACGTGTTAGCAACAGTCGGGTTTACAAAAATTAAGAAGGTAATTTGGTATTATCAACCGAGCTGATAACGAAAATTGGCCACCGTAAAGAGTCAAAGCCGACATTTCGAGCGTTAGCCCTTCTTCAGAGCGAAAGACGAAGTGCTAACACTCTTTAAGGTGGCCAATTTACGTTATCAACTCAGTTGATAATACCAATTACCTGGTTATACCCTCCCTCCGACGCAGCACCACAGTTTCCTTAGAAACCTACTTCCTTAAGAGAAATTACCTGAGTTCGCTTGCTTCTAAGCCACTGAAGCAAGTCTCCATGAGCTACATACTCAATGACCAGGAGAAAAGGTTCGGTCGTGGTCCAACACCCGAGGAAACTCAAAATATTCCGATGTTGACCGACTTGCCTCATCAGGTCTATTTCATCCAGAAATTGTCTTCTCTGCTCTTCACCGGCATTTTCTTTTTTGAATAAATAAATAAAAAGGAATTACGATAAAATTGATAAGAGTATACCTTTGCTTCTGGCTACGAGCCGTTCTGCAGAAATGTTTCAGCCGAAAAAGTTTCCGCTGGACTCAAGCTATAGCGAGCACATGTACATAAATATCCGAAAGGGAAAGCTTTCGAAGATTAGCACCACAAAGAGAAAACAATTTAGACTACATCAATGGACTAAGTTCATCAACTACACAATGTAGAGGTATTTTTTTATTGGAATTTAACGATGAATGACCAAGGCGATGAAATGCTGATAATTATATCGAAGGGGATCATCGTCATACTTACCATGCAGTTCCTTTATTGCCACAATCTTTTTTCGCTTGGCCTTACCAATTAAATCATCACCGTTTTTTAAGTAATCCAATCCATCCTTGAGTGTTGCCTTATGAACCTTCCCAAATGCTCCCTCGCCTAGGGCTTCGATAAATTCTGTTCTTAATGGATGGACTTCGCACTGCTCTAAGACATGAATATCGTCGACCGTCCTTAATCAAAATCAATTCAGTTAGTTCAGTTTGGTTGCACCATAACCCTAACCCAGAAAAAAATTTACTTCCACATCAACTGTCAGGAAAAGCTGGTTTCACTAAGCAAGCAAACTGATGATAATAACGATAATAGTGACAGTTATGGTAATAAAGAGATCGCCTAACAGACTCATATTCTTCGCTTGGACTACCTCCGAGATCATACCCCTTGGTGGAGAAATAATGATATTGGTGGTAAAAATGAAAGGAGTATTAGGTTAGTGGGGATAAAATTAATTTTAATTGATGTCAATATAAGCGGCCATAAATACCTTTTGACCTGTTTTGATGCGCGCTTTTTGTAGTAGTACCACACTCTTATGATCAGAAGAAGGGCGACCAAAACAACAACGCCGGCAACGATCAGTGCGATTAGGTTAACCAGTTCTAACGGCGGAGAATCTACAGGAAAAAGGACATCATTATGTTTGCTGCCTGCGTAAAATTTTTAAACGCTTTACTTTTTTACCGCTTTAAGAACAGACCTTGAAGTGCGTGTCACTCGGCAGTTAATAAACCTTTTTTATTTTGTTGTTCTCTGAGCGAAAACGTTGTCCTACTTGAAACTTTTTGTGGAGCTGATCTCAACTGCGCTGGTTAAGGCAATTCAAGATTATCAGTTGGTGGAGAGTTCTCATCTTCTCGTGGACGAGAGTAAGTCTTATTCAGCAAAGCAACTGCAAAAAAGACTTTAAAAACTGCCGATGTAAAAGACTGTAATTTCCACTTTCAATACCCTTGCTCTTATTGTAAAATCTCATTTTTAACAAACCCTCTTGAGACGAAAGGAGGCCATGTGTTTACATGCATTCATAAACTTTATGTCGTTACCAGTAGACTTGGTTGATTAATGTCAAATATATGAAATTGTCACTACCTGTTAAATGGGATTCTCTAACTTCCTGCTGAAAGGTTAAGTCGTTTGTTGTTGCCGACCGCAAAGAAGACAGGTTTCCTCCTCCTAGCCCATTCCAGGCCCTAGCCTGAAATTCATACGTCGTGGAGCAATTCAGTATAAGTTCCGTTTGCTTGATTCCCTCATCTGTTACATTGACATATGTCCAAGTGTTGTCATCATCAAGTCCTTTTTTCCTGTAGCTGATTGTGTAAAAGAGTATCGGGCAGCCAGTGGATTTTGGTGAGATCCACTCTAGTGTAACATTACATCCTGAAACTTTCCGTTCGACTATTTCAGGTGAACCAGGACGGTCTACAAATTTGGTAAAGTAAAGAAAGGGTATAAAACCATAAAGCTTGGTCCAAAGCCATAAGGTTAATGTCCTTGACACGACTATTGCCTTGCCTTTTTTGAGTTACGATGGACTTAATTAAGATTTATCATAAATTATTATAACGAAAATCAACGCTACAATGCAAGACCTTGCGATGGGCGAAAGAAAAGAGGTTTAGATAGCCTGCCCGCTTTTTTGCCTTCAAGGAATGACATAGAATACTATGGAACTAAGCAATCATAGCTCTATAGTTCTGATGGATGGTATTGAAAAAAAAAAAAACCTTTATAAAGTTTTGACAAGCTAAAGAAATTGTACCTGCTTGTTTAGTGGATATTTCCTTGGCGATGGATGGCAAACTGTATCCAAGTTTATTTTTTGCAAACACTCTGACACGATACGTGGTATCTTTCTCCAAATGTGTAAATAGACATGTTCTTGATCTCAATGTTCCACGTAAACTGCAGTTAATCCATTCTTCTTTGGGATCAGCCCCTGCTATTTGTGCAACGTAGCCGATCACAGGGTCTCCTAATGCCCCAGGTATTGGTGGACTCCACGTTACGTTGATGGAGTTACACTGTCCCGAAATTGGAGGATGTAAGGTCGGTTTGTATGGAACATCTGGCAAAAGAAATTGGCTGTTCACTTTAAATCTTTAATTTCCATCTTCACCCGAGTTAAACATGCTTACAACGACTGTTGAACATACAAGAAGGACATCTGACGAAAGTTCAACCTCAACTTCAGTAAAGTGGATGCCAACTGCACCACAAATTTAAATCTGAAGATTTTTTGGTATAATCAAGAAAAAAATTCATGTCAACCTGATTTTCACATAAATGATTCCTTGTAATAGAATGTATGATTAAGATGTAGTCTTAAAAAAAACTAAGGGAGCGAAAACTATCAATGATAGTTAACAGAATTATATAACTGACTTACCTTGAGCTGTTCTCACTTTCCAGGCTGTGCTGTTTTCACTTCGTCCCAGTTTGTTCCAAGCGGCAATAGTGAATTCGTACCGTTTGCTGTATTGAAGCTGCAGTTGATAACTTGTAACTCCCGAGATGTTTATTTCACTCCGGCTTTCCATAAGTGGTTCTATTACTCTGAAGCGAATGGAGTACATAGTAATATTGCAATTGTAATGTTTAGGGCGTCTCCAAGTTACAGTTACATTTCTGTCCGAGACTGATGAAACATTCGATTTAATCTCTGGAGGATCAGGTGGACCTAAAATAGAGACAGAAAAAAGTTGTGTAGATTAGGGTAACGAAAGAAATGGACATCTAAATGTGATAGCCAGATGGGTATCACAATCCGAATGATCTATACACCCATATACATATTACTATACACCATAGATCTATACACCCACCCATCCATCTAGCCAACTATCCCTCTATTCTCCATTTATCCACTCATCCATCAATCTTTCCCTCTATATATCTTTCTATTCACTCATCCATCCATCCATCTTTCCCTCCACCCATCCATGTATCCATCCATCCATCAATCCATCAATCCATCAATCCATCAATCCATCAATCCATCAACCCATCAATCCATCAATCCATCAATCCAACAATCCATCCATCCATTCATCCATCCATCATTCCATCCATCCATCAATCCACCCATCCATCAATCCATCCATTCATCCATCAATACACCCATCCGTCAATCCATCCATCTATCTTTCCCTTCAGCCATACATATATTCATCCGTCCATTCACCACCGCTTCACCAGTCCATCAATGCATTCATTCATCCTTCCGGCCATCCATGTATCCATCCATCCATCCATCTCTCCACTAATCCATCAATTCGTTCATCCATACCTCCATTAATTCATCTATCTAGCCATCCATCTCTATACGCAAATTTATCCATTCCTCTATCCATCCGTCCCTTCCAGCGTTCATGCATCCTTCCATCCACTATGTATATCACTTACCTGCGGGGCTTAATGAGACTGAAGTGTTCGTCCAATCACTGAAACCCTTCCGGTTGAAAGCTCTAACGCGAACTATCCTGTGAGGGCCACTCTCGTCAATGAGGAAACCATGGAAGGAACATGTATTATTTGGAAGGAACCGACTACAGTTGCGCCAATCATCACCTTGTTCTATCTGGACCTGGAACTCCGTCACTGAACCTCCACCGGATTCAGACGACGATGCCTCCCAAGAAACCTCCATTATACCACATTGCTTCTGTTTAGGTATTTTAATTGATGGTATGAAAGGCACCCCTGTAAACGCAATCAAGAAAATACTATCAGTAGATCTACATTTTCCTATTCTGAATGAGGAAATAAAATCATTAATTAACACTTTAAACTAAACGGTTAGCTTTCCCTATGACTTCCTCGTATGACCCCAGATCGCGTGGTCAGCATTTCAGGCCGTGCCTCGTCCTCAGGAAAGACATTTTACCCTTGCTCCTCTTCGCTAAGGAGTGTGTATGGAGCGTACATGAATACCAGAGAACTACGGAGATCTATCTAAATGTTGGGAGTAACCGGAGAAACGGTAGAAATACTCTAGGTTGCATACTGTGTCGGGGACTTGGATAAGCTCTCGTGAGGTATATTGCTTGTGTTAAGCAGGAACCATAATTACACAAATTGATCGGATATCATTAAATATGGGGACAAAATACGAACAAAAAATTCACAAACCCATTACCATTTTCCGTTGTTAAGGACAGCACAGACTTCTCAGTGTAGTGGTTATGTCCCCGTTGATTCCAAGCAAAGACCATTATGTGGTAATTTTTGCTGCAATTTAAGCAGAGACGATAATCGCTTACGTTTGACGATTTCAAATTGATCGTATTCCACCCGCTCGTCTCGTCTTTGTAGTGAATCGTATACCGTGATATTGGGCAGCCATTGGCAGAGGGAGCATTCCACGAGAGTTTAGCACTGCATCCATAGGGAACTGCCTCTATATCAAATGCATCTGGAATATCTGCAATGCAAAAATTAAACGATATTAACTATATCTAATAATCATTTCAATGGCTAATGATACTTTCAGGAATTGTAATCAATATTTCAATTTTAATTAATACTTCACGACATGGAGATAAAAATACAAATTCCTTTGTTCAGGTCGGAATGAAGGAAATAGAGGAAGCCTATCAAACTATTTTCTTTACTTCTCAACACTAATCGGATCAATACCAGTATCTGGGCAACTGCCCACATACCCCTCCCCTAACCCAACAATAACCTTAACTTGTTGTCAATTGACTGTTGTTGAGTTAGGGGAGGGGTAGGCGGGCAGTTGATATTGATCCCACTAATGGTATGAAGATTAAACTATACCCTATTTACCTTTCGTTTCCCTGTAATTGGAATCAAGCAAATGCCTAATTATAGCTCCAAAAGGTGTAATCACAAGAGGTTACTTTTTGAATTAGTACCATGTTAGAAGCATCCATTTTTTACTTTCAAATATCAGCAGCTCAAGCCCCAATGATCTGAACAAACGCTGCAGTTTAATCTTTTTTAAAATATTGATTTTTTTGGATATCTTTCAATCTTTGCAGTACTGATGATATTACAATTTACAAGTGCATCAGCTTTCTTTCATGTTGGTTCTTTTATACTAAATTGAGAAAAAGAGGGAGGGGTGAATAACGTTATGAACGGTACCAGGTATCGCAAAATATTTGCGTTTTCTTATTTTACGTAAGATGGATCTGTTGGATCCATTATATTTTTATGATTCCACGTTAACCAATTATATGTGATTCCCTCGCTTACCTGAGGTAGTTTTCAACGATAATTTTTTCCAAGGACTAACTGATGATGAGCTATTGGAATATTTAGCTCGGATATTGAATTCATAGTCTGTGTTCATCTGAAGTCCGACGAATTTGTGTGAGAATATTTCCCTTGAGACATTAGCCTTCCACCTCGATCTTTCATCTGTGGATCTCAATGTAACTTCATAACCAAAGATTACATTGGTTTTAAGCTCTGTTGCTGGGGCGCTCCACTCCACTCTTATGGCACTTCCACAATCGGTTGATTCCCATTTCTGAATTTTCGGAGGTGATAGCGTTGTGAAATCCACTGGAAGATAAATTGTTAAAAGGAGGTTGCTTGGCGGATTGGCTAAAACAATGGGCTTTGAATGAGCAGATGAATGGATTAGCAAATCGATGGATAGATTAGTGAATAGATGATGACGGGGTTAATGGATGAAAAAGAAGAGAAAGGGTGAACAGAGAACATATTTCAGTAATGTTTATCTTGTCCTACAGGAGAGCTTTTCCAGAAATTACTTGAGTTGAAGTTTAGAATCTGTTTCAGATGCTTTTTTTGAGTCATGTACGAGATATAAAGGGAGATGAAAGTTAAGAAAATTAATTCAAAGCTAAAATTTTGAGTTGAATATGGGTTTTCGAAATGAACCTTTAAAACATCGAGCGCAGTTTTAGAGGATTGTTGGTCAGTGCCATGCCGTTATATGCTGAGACAATGATTGGGTAGCAATGTGTATCTTACCCAATAAAATGTCCTTTATTGCGACCGAGATATTAGCCAGCAGCAATTCACAAACGTATTGACCCAAATTTTCTTTAGAAGTGTTTGTAATACGAAGGATTGTAGAGCCTTTCGAATGGTGGCAAGAGTTGGGGGGACGAATGTCATCAGACATGCTGTACTTATCATTTTTTCGTATTGTATGGCCCTGAAATCTCCACTGCCAGTGGTAGAAAAGCAACTTTCTATAATCCAGGCCGTTTGCATGACATCTTAATGTGGCATTTGACAAGCCTGATTTAACTTGACGATTTCTAACAGTGAGCTCAGGAACGGTTGGTGGACCTATACGAGAAAAAAGACACGTTTATCAAAAAACGATCAACAGCTCTCTCTCTAGAATTGGAATGTTGCCTCTTTTTTGCGATCCCGAACCTGGGTGCCAGCAACATTAGAAAGCAGAACACTGAAGGCAATGATTACAGTGATAACGATAAAAATAGGAAACGAGAAGAGTAACTTGCCCAAAATTGGTAACTTCAAATTGCAAAAAGATTTAGTGAGGGAATTTGAAAAACTGACAGTCGTCTGTCACTTTGCCAATTTTCATTTGAGATAAACTGATAACTGATTCATTTATTTTTCTATCAGATAAGTGAGTGACGAGACAAAAAAGAAATGACGACCAAAGTTCCCTCACAGGTGACCGATACTTGAATATTGCGCTTCTTTGTGTGGTAATTGTTCTTGGCTTCACAGCTGAAGAACCCAGCATGACGTATGTCGACTTCAGAAAAGTGCAATGATGACTTGATACTTTCAGCTTTTTTTTCTTCTTTAATAAGGGATACTGAAATGTTGAGATCACCATCTTTAAGTTCCGTGCCGTTCATGAGCCACTTTACTGTTAGCGGTGTCCGACTAGTCACGTTGCAGAATATGACGGCCTCTCTTCCAACAAAAAGCTGCACAGAATCCTCGGCCATACGTATTGATGGATAATCTGTTTAATAGACAAACAAAATTTGCTATCAAGCTTTTCCTGAAGGCAAAAACTATTATCGTTATTGATGATCAAACTACTTTTTCTTGCGAGCATTCCCTATTAGAGACCGAGATCCTTTCCAATGCTTTGCCAAGAGAAGTTCATTAGCACAACGTCCTTTCAGTTATTGGGCCCTCCGCCGTCCAAATCGATATAGATACAGTCAAACCCGTATGAAGCAGTTACCCACGGAGAATGACGCGTTGACCGCCTAAAAAAAGTTAATCCCCTAACACAGGTTCCACAAAATGGGAGCATTATGAAGAAACGTTCTGCCATACCAACATTGATTTCGAATGATAAGTATGGATTAAATTGTACTTGAATTATTATTCTTAGTTTTATATAAGTGGTCCAGCTTTAAGTGACCGTTAAATACGGGTAAGGACCGTTCATGAGGATTTTCTCAGTGGCTGCCCTGACAAATCCTTGGATGTCCCTATAGTAAGGTCTTATACTTCTACTTGCATCCAAAATGAATGCTATGTCAGGCCCGCTCTCGCACTGGCTATCAACTGTAAAAAATTTGAAAAGGTAAATTAAATGACTGAAAATGATACATATATTCAGTACATGTAAACATAAAATACGCTCAAAAGTTTTCGTGGTTTTTCCTGACGCAGAAGGAAAGACGCAAAACAAAATACACTGAGTCTAAGCTCGAAATTAATTTAATCTAAACTGTACATATATTTTGTCTTTGCGCTGAAAATGAAAACCAAAAACAAAACTTGGGCGTTCATCACAATTTTTTGTTTCAATCAGATTTTCTGGTAAATAATTCGCAATACCTGAAAATATTCTGAATGGAAAGAAGGCAGAAGCCTGCTGAGCCACACAAAGAAAAAGAAAATAAAAAGCGAGGGGGATTTGACAACGTTCCATCGTTGTCACCTTTACTTGAAGCGATACATTCGAATGGGATCTGAAAGAAAGAAAGAAAACACACATCTCTGAAGAGATTCAAAAGCCTTCAATCTCGAGTATTTCATTCTACAAAACTGAAGAAAGGAATTAAATTTTCTTAGAGAAAGGAACTTGAATATCAGCACTCCATTCCCTTCATTTCCTTTAGAAAAAGGGTTGCATGTCATGGTTGCTCAGGAAGATCAGTCTTTTTTATTTGTCAAATATGCCCTTGTAGTTTTCTTAAATTTCCAGTTTAGTGGGCTTAATTTTTGTCATTTTTTCTGAGTTTTCTTGGACGATAAACAACTTTTAACCAGAGAAACGTTTCTGACGTTTACATAATTCTGCCTCTTAATGGAACAAAACAGGTAGTACGTGATTAATTATTAATCACATCTAAATTGCTGCGACATAGAATTCTTCAATATGCCTTTTTATCATTCTACCATGGTTTTAAATAAGTTTTATTCCTGGAGGAACAATAGATTTATGATGGAATAATATCATTGTGTGTTTTATTCTACGAAAGTGAAGTCGTAATTTATAAATGTAAACCTGACAATATCGGCGCTGAATGTAAATTTATGAAAATAATATATGTGAACTGCGGATAGGAGGTGAATATGAAAGCGATCTTCGCAGTAATGGATACTACGTAAGCAGTAGTGACAATAAGGCCTGAAAAAAAGATAAAATTTCTTTTTCCTTAGCCCTCAATTTCACTACTGCTCAATTAGTGCTCATTACTGCGAAGATCGCTTTCATATTCACAATATCAGCGCTGTTTGAAAGCTGTAGTCAAATTTTAAGGAAACGGTCAGGTGTTTACACTCTCTGCATATGCTTATATTTAGTTTAGGTACTCGTGGGTACACTGTTTCCTCAGACAATAAGAACTTTTCCTTTCAATTAGGGCTCTCTTTATCGAAAAAGCGACCGGTAAATTAAGTTGCCCTTTTGCCGGATAAAGCGTGAGTTTGGTAGCTTAAAGTAAACAAAGAGATAATTGGAAACAAAAGTCTTTCCTCTTGTTTTGAGTCCCCTATTCAGTAAAGTGAAAAAATTTAATACATTGTTAACAGACCAGGTTTTCTGGTTTTTTTTAAAATTTTTTATTTACCCAGATCCCAAGAAATGGATTTCAGTTCGGTTTGACAGGTTCCCGTTTTGGTGACCGTAATGCACAAACTCTACATAGACAAATTTCTCACCGTAATGTTCAGTTGAACCAGGTCTATCCGATATTGTTAGGAATAGATCACTAACCGCGAGATTCCCACCATAGTTCTATGCGTTTGAGGGCGTCCATTTTGCCCTCGGCTAAACTGAGATATGTCATTCAGCACGTTACGTTCAATTATTGAAAAACACAGGAACACGAGTTCAATTAAAATAAGCAGGTGATATTTTATACCCTGTCAATTACCGAGTATGAAATATTTCTCGATTGGAGGATCTATAGTACAATCGTCAACAAAAAAAGTTTTGTTCACCTATTGATATCAATTAAGTGTCCATTACCTGCATTACCTATTCTGTGTTTTAAGCAAGAGAATATCGTATTTTGCATTTTTCAACTACCCCGTCTTCTCATCTCATTTTTCTTACTTGTCGAAACCAATAATAAATAGAAAAACGGCATTGATCCCGATGATTTTTCTTTTCCATTTTTATTATTTAGATCTTCATTTCCATTTTCAAAATAATAGTTGCTTGTGTTACCATTTTCCTAATTAGTGTGCTTAATGTTAAATATTAGAACCAATTTTCAAGTTAAATAAGTGCTACGCTTTTTCAAATGGCGAAAGATTAATCACGTGTTTGCGGTAAAGTGGAAAAAGTCATGCAAGCCTAACAAAATTTAAGTCTTAATTTGTGCCCAAGAAAACGCATAGAAATGATACATTGATGCCTATGCATATGTAGCAAATTTTCTTTAAAATACATCCACGACGAAGATGAGTGTTGTTACAGCCACAGATGATCCATAGAGGGTGAAAAAAAATGGCGTCACATTGTCTACACCCATATCGAAAAGCAGATGTTTCAAAGCTGTTGTCAAGGTACATGTATATAGTTCAATCGGAAATTGAAATTTACTCTTAGGTAAACATTTAATTAAAAGAGGAAAGAAATAAGAAAAATAGGGCCACGACGTCTACAGAAATATGTAAATATGTAGTTCGTTGGACTGAAAAGTTCCGATGAAAGAAACAGATGCCTAAACCCAATTGATGCGGAGTTCTATCTTGATCTCGAAGGTAAGATCAAAATTTATATAGACGGGCTTGCTTTAGTCTTTTTCAGTTCAAAAATAAATATGATATCATGATCGCTTTCGTAGTCACCTGAAGTCTGCAACACACAGCTTTTTTGAAAGCTCATCGAGAGTGAAAAGTCTAGAAAATTCTACAAGATTAATTACATTTTATCCTTTACAAATCAGCTTTAATTGGCATGACGACTATGAAGCTCGGTATAAATAAAAGGATGTTTTGTAACGTAGTCGTTTTAATTACACTCTTGTTTGGCTCTGAATCGTGGACTCCACATAGATCTCGTATCAACCAATTAGATGTCTTTCACAACAGGTTGTCTTGGGAAATTTACGGCAACACTATTGAGGGGTGGATATCAAATGTGGTCCTTTTTCGGCAAGTGTAAAATCCGAGGGACTGAGAGGTTCTTAATGCAATCACAGCTCCGCTGGGCTGGTCATGTCATTCGAATGGGTGACGAGAGAAACCCTTATGTTGTTATACACAGCCGGCTTGACTGTGGACATGGAAATGTTGGGAAAACGAAATCTCCTTAAATGCGGCATCAATCTAAATAGAGAGAGGTACACGATTGGAATGTGATGACCCGTTTTGTTTGAGAGAAGGCATTTGTAATTACGAACCAAAAAGAGCAAAGAGGTACATTTCAGCACTTTAGTAAAAGCCCAACATTCACACAAGTATAGTCATTGCTAAACTTTTATGAGGAGTAATTCATAATTTGGATCTTAAAGTGCAACATTTAAGGCGTTAGCTCTTTTCATTCTAATTGTGATTACACAGGACAGTTCTGGATTCAAATTAGTTCTACTCGTCTCCCAATGGGATACAGCTCTATTCTTCTTGGAGCGTTCTATCACCCGCCAGGTGCTAATGACTCTGCTTTTTAGAGTATTTAGAGAGGTGTTTGTCATCTATCGAAACACGGTATTCCAACTGTAGCCTTTGTTTGTTTGCGGAATGTGCGCGTAGTAATAATATGTAAGAAAGTCGCAGCGCGTCTCTACTTTCTTAAGCAATTAAAGCGCGCAAAAGTCCCAGCTAATGACCTTCTAAGTTTCTACACCAGTTGCCTACGCCCAGTTACAGAGTATGCATTCCAGTCTTTCATAACGCTCTACCGCAATATCTCTCCGATCAGTTAGAACGCCTGCAGAAGCGAGATTTAAGTGTATTTGGATACATGGGTATTTTACAAAGCAATAACCTTAAAATTCTTATAGGGACGTTTATTCTATATATTACCAGAAAGAGCGTTTGAGAAAAAGTGGTCGGAGAAGGAAAGCAGGCCGAGTTTCCTTTGAAACTTTCGTTTATTTGACTCGAAATCGAAATGAAACTACTCAAATATTTAGTTAAGCATGTCCAATTAGCTGTCTTGCGATCAATTGTGTTTGAAAATGTTGAGGCTTTATGGTCAAGGAAATTGAAACTCCGTAATAACTCAAGCTGGCTGAACTGTTTAAGTCATTTTTTATTAATCAATTTGTGTCGCATTTTGAATGCTAAATTTCTAATTGATGTATTTAAGTTTCAGTATAGTGTCCCGTTACGAAGGCCTTGTCAGGAAAACCAGGGGATTGTGTACTTATACTAGCTTATTGATATCACAATCAAGGCTTTTCGGAAACCTTGTCGTCTAAGCATATATTGGTTGTTTTAGTTCCTTTTGAACAATAGTTTCTGACATTCTCAGACCGAAATAAAAAGTTTATCATCCTCCTTCTTTTCAAAACCTGCTGTAGATACGAGTACTTAAGATTGCTTACAATATCATTTTGTTAAGTTAAGTTATAAAATGGACACATAAATCCAATAATTGTTTTGAAGGCATTATTCATGTTGTTGTTATTTTATAACTCGTCAACTCCATCCACGTCATCTTCATTCGTCTTGACATCTTGCACAAGATAATAGTCTTTCGACTCGTCAACTTTGTCAAAATCAAAGTATTCAACTTCCTGATGCATCAGCCTTTCCAGCCTTCCAACCAGTTCCTGGAAACTCGGCCTTTCATTTAAATCTTGTTTCCAACAGTCCAACATCAAAGAATAACTGAAAAGAGTAAAGAAATGAGGATTACTTGTTATAGGGGTCAACGACAAACGAAAGCCATTTAATCAAACTGACGACTTTTAGTCTCCTCTGATGCAGTATTGTGCATCTTGCACAAATGATATTTGACAATAAAACTCGTGCCATATACAAGAACCTCTTTTCTTACAAATAAAAAAAGCTACCCAGAGGTTAAAAAATTTAGCCTTTATAGTCAAAAACGCTGTTATCATTGTTTGTATTGGAATTGCGAGAACTCGTCGGTGTAATGGGAAAAACACACAAAGTTAATCAGCGAAGTTATTCTCTAAATGACAATGGTTGTACAGTTGCAAACAATCAAATGAAATGAAAAAATTAAATGGTACCAGCTTTGCTCGTGAATAGGGGATATACTTCTGTTTTCATAGTCACTAATCTTATTAATGTTCGAAACTGAGTTTAATGCCGGCAAGCTACGTACACATGATCTGAACACAGTTCAGGTTTCTCCATCCGGTAACCAGTCTGTATCAATCTCATGAGCTCTTTATTTGTCAAGATTGGATAAGGTGAGCCTCCTAAAAACAAATTAAGCAAAATTAAAAGAATAAGTATATGCATGGTGAAACCTCGCTAAACGAGGTTACTTATTCTCCGTAAGGGGGTTTTGAGTACACACAACGTTTATGACCATCTCCAGTTCGGCGACACATTACTTTCTGAATTTAACATTGATGGGAGCGTAAACTAAAAAACCAAAGGAAATCGCGGTGATACTATGAGAAATATCAATGCAGGTATATAGGGATGATGGGGCCTACAGATGGATAAATGAAACTTGGATTTTTTTGACAGATAAAGTTATTTTCATATAATTACCAACAGTTGCAATTTCCCACAGAACAACTCCATACGACCAGCTGAAAAGAATTATAGTGCATTCTGTTGATACTGATACTGTATGCTAACTTGTATATTCTTACTCTTAATAGGACTGACAGGAATCCAATTTGGTCTGCAATTATATGAGTATGATTATAAACCGAATCGGACGACGCGAAGTATTGTTACCTTTTAATCATAACCATTACAATTTACAAAAAAAAAAAACACATTTATTTGGAGTGGGTTTACAATACTAATTATCTAAATTAAAAAAAAAATTCCCCATTTTGGAAATTCCCAGTACTGTGGGGTATGTGGTTGTTGATATGGTTATTGTGATAAATTCTGTAACGGGTGGATTTAACTAAGTGGAATCAATATAATTGGCTTCTTAACTGTTCGATTACAGGTGTCCAATCACAGCCAACTGTCCGATTATAGGTGTCCAATCACAGCCGACTGTCCGATTAAAACGCTTCAGAATAATGAGTGAAGGCAGCTAATGCACCAGTCATATTTGAGAAAATCTTAATGGTTGTGATTACCAATCCACTCAATTACCACTTTTTGTTTCTCTCTTTGCATGGAAAATTATATTTGTTAATACCTTCCGTTTACATCAGCTTTTTACTGAAGTCTTGATCTATCTGTGCCACTTTTTAGGAATTTGTTAGGAATGATTTGGAGGGGAAATAAAGAAATATATATTCTTTAGGGTAAATATTAGTTACGTCTTCTCCTTTTGAGACAAATTCATGAGGTATTCGATAATTATTTCAATGTGCTTTTTAAAAAATTATTACCACAGGGAAAATGGTAATTTTTAGTGAGTCCCTCAATTTTTTTAAATTCTGGTTGGATACTGCAGCTGTTACGAAAAAAATGAAAAGTTACTAACACATCGCTTTTTGAAGTAAATATCTGTTCGTAAAGTGACTCAGGTGCCATCCATTTAACTGGCAGTTTCTTCTGCTTCTGCACCTCATATACCTCATGATACACTTCTCGCATCAAACCAAAGTCTGCAATCTTGAGCTTTTTACCGTGCCCGACAAGGACATTCCTTGCCGCAAGATCTCTATGAACGAGGCCTTTCTCGGAAAGATAAGTCTAAAGAATCAAAACAATTGAATGAAGGAACAATCACAATTTGCCATCAGGTGTATGAGGAAGGGAGTAATCTTCACCAAAAAGACTTCGATTTGAGACAATTTGAACAATCGGGATTGAATAGTATTAACTCTTGCAATGACCATACTTTGTAAAAACAGATTTTGCCTCTTTGTTAAATTGTGGAAGACGCGGTGAACCAATGCTTATTGTGCTGGACTCAAGGTCTAGGGGCCGGTATCAAAACCTGGCTGGGTCATTCTAGCTCGCAACTTGGTGGGTTCACCGTGTTTTCAGGCAAAATACTTTACTCGCAAAATGCCTCTTTCCATTCAGGTTTACCTATGAGTACCGATAGATTGTGAGTTTAACCCGACGAAACGCAGGGGGCTAACAAACTCTTCCATGGGGGAGTAATAAAATTGTAGCCGCTTCATGCTACAGAACTGGGAAAGGCTGCAAGGTGTTGTGCGCTACTGCTCCATTGCAAATTAACTACTAAGGCAACTGAGAGCATATATACGTCACCGTTTGGTGTACAATGTCAAATTTTCAGATTGAAATTTTGCTTATTCTGAATCACCATCTCTTCTATTTTTATTGTTCTCATTTTTACGTGTGTTATTCCTTATCCTTGTCAGACAATTTTTTTCAGGTTTTGCCCTATTTAAAAGCATTTCCATTTGCTGCAAAACATGAAATTAGACTTAAAATACCGGGAGATATTCATACTGGTTACTTAGCATCGCAATTCTTTCAACATTTTTATTGCAGACCAGTTTCCCTTACCATGCCTCCTGCTATCTGCCATGCAAATGACAGAAGATCAGCTGGAATGAAGGACTCGCAATCAGTACTACACTCTTCATCTGTCTTGCCGGGCCTTTCGTCTGCCTCCTCTCCCACAGTTGGCAAAACGACCAGTGGTATTTTACATTCATCGATTCCAGGTTGACCTGGGCCATCATTAGGATAGAAAGCTTCTGGATTGAGTTCTGGTATTTCTCCCTTCCGGTCACTCTCAGTGTCGGTCTGCATTTAACATAGCGAACGTTTGTAAGCTTCAGATCTAACTGTCACCTCGGTATGCCTTGCGTAAATCAAAGTAGATACTTATAAAACAATATTTTGAGGAAAAGTTAGCATGGGGAGATGCTGCTACAAATCCCACCGCGAGACCAAGTAAAAAAGAAACAAATCTTCTGTTGCAATCTAAACAAAAATCCAAATACTGTTTACCTGATAATTGAATGAGCCAAACAGAGCAGTCCTAGATCCTTCGTAAAGATTGTTTTCTTTTGCTGTGCTGCCAGCCAAGCCGTTGATCTAAGCAAGGGACAGTTGTCGACATGAAATGATACTGTCAAAGGTCCCAGTGAAAAGCAACAGTAAGTTAATATACAACTCCCTTAACTATCTCAGTAGATTCTCGCTAAGATCTTTTTTACTTTTCGTGCTTGTCAATAATTGTATATGAATAATTGTAGATACCACCAGGTTATTGGGATTATTTCAATGTAGTTAAATTTTTCATGCGTAGGCTTTCCACTAAGATTTAAAATCCTCGGAGCATACTTACTTGTACATGATCAATGCGACCTTAAACAGGGTGACTTAACACTAAGCATGTGTCACCCGAATAATGTTTATGAAAATTACCTGAGTCCGCTTGCCTCGAAGCCAATGAAGCAAGTCACCGTGAGCCACGTACTCGATAACAAGGAAAAAAGGTTCGGTCGTGGTCCAACAGCCGAGGAAGCTTAAAACATTCCGATATTTACCGACTTGCTTCATCAGGTCTATTTCATCCAGGAATTGCCTTCTCTGCTCTTCATCAGCGTTTTCTTTTTAACAAAAGATATATGCATTTATGATGATTTTGCAGCATGTAGTGCTATTTCCGGTCAGCACTTCGAAATTTTTATTATCAAAAGGCATTCTGGAAACCAAAAACCGATGCCGGAGTTTCCCTGATTTTGCTTTAAAAATTCATTGAAAAGGAAAAAAATTTGGACAGAGCTTAGAAACAAATGCCACTGTCCTCTGGAATTGAAGTAATTATTAGCAAATTAATAAAACTGCACCTCTGCTTCTGGCTATAATATCACGGAAATGTTTTGGCCGAAAAAAATTCCTTACTGGACTCGAGTTTAGGCGAGCACGACATAGACATCCGAGAGAAAAAACTTCCGATAACTAGCGCGACAAAAAGAAAACTATTTAGACCACATCAATGGACTAACGTTATTTCATGATATTCTTGACACTCCTGCCATTTTTTGTTGCTGAATAATAATAGATGATGATAAGGATAAAATGCTGATGATGACATCGTAGAGGATCATATTCATACTCACCATGCAGTTCTTTTACGGCCACAATCATTTCTCTCTTAGCCTTTCCAATAAAGTCATCACCGTTTTTTAAGTAATCCAATCCGTTCTTGAGCGTTGCCTTATGAACCTTCCCAAATGCTCCCTCACCTAGGTCCTCGACAAATTCTGTTCTTAATGGATGGATTTCGCACTGCTCCAAGACATGAACATCTCTGACCGTCCTTGATCAAAATAAAATGAGTTTTACATTTGCTTCAACCTCAATCATAAGGAAAAGCTGGTTTTGTGATGTTCATCATGGGAAAAAGTGATTATACCAACGATGGCAATCATGATAATAATAGTTATGATGATAATGATGATAATTAAAATAGTAATGAAAACGATGACAAAACGTGTATTAAAAGGTATCGCCCAACAGACTCATGTTAGGAGTTCGAACTAACGTCAAATACTGTTCTCCTGGTTGGAGAAATAACGACGGGTGATAAAAATGAACAAGCTTTTTGGTCAGGAGGGATAAACTAAATATTTAACCTTGATTTACAGTAAAGTATGCGGCCAGAAATACCTTTTGTCTTGTTGCTAGTACCACACTCTTATGGTCAGTATAAGGGCAACCAAAACAACAACACCAGCAACAATCGGTGTGATTAGGCTCACCAGTTCTAAAGGCGGAGAATCTGTAAGAAAAGGACATCACTGTGATTGCAGCCTGCGAAAATTTCGTAAACGTTTTGCTTTCTATACAGCTTTAAAACCAGTTCACGAGGTGCTTCTCACTCAGCAGTTAACTAATTTAACTTATTCTTCTCTACGCGAAAAATGTTTCCTTACTTCAATGTTTGAAAATTTTTTGTGGACCTGATCTCAACTCTGCTGGTTTGAAACTTTTATGTAGAGCTGAACTCAACTTTACTGGCTTGAAACTTTTTGTAGAGCTGATCTCGACCGTGCTGTCTAAGGAAAGATTCTGCTGTCAGGAGAGTCAAAGTTATTCCGCAAAGCGATTGCACAAAAAACTTAAAAAAACTGCCAGTGTAAGAGCTTGTAATTTCCACTTTCAATACTCATGCTCTTGATTGCAAAAACTCATCTTTACCAAATATTATTTTAGACGAAAGGAGGCCATGAGTTTCAATTTCAATAAACTTGGTTAATTACTCTAAAATTGATCCAAGTGTCATCATCGTTTAGTCCTTTTTTCCTGTAGCTGATCGTGTAAAAGAGTATCGGGCAGCCAGTGGATTTTGGTGAGGTCCACTCTAGTGTAATATTACATCCTGATACTTTCCGGTCAAATATTTCAGGTGAACCAGGACGGTCTATCAATTTAATGAAGCAGAGCAAGGGTACAAAAAGACATAACGTTAGTTTCCTATAAACGACTGTTGCGTTATTGTTTCGAGTTACTATAGACTTAAGATGTATACTGAATGATCACGACGAAAATCAAACCTAGATTGGAAGACCTTCCGATGGGCGAAAGAAAAGAGGTTTGGATTGCTCTCATCCTTTCTTGCCTTCAAGGGATAGCAAAAAGAACAAAACAAAAAAACAAAACAAAACAAAAAACGAAAAAACAAAAATGCCTGATAAAGTTTACTGCTTTTGAAGGAATTGTACCTGCTCGATTTGTGAAGATCTCTACAATGTCGGATGGAAGACTGTATCCAAGTCTATTTTCTGCAATTACTCTCACTAGATACCTAGTATGAGTCTCCAGATGTGCAAACAGACATGTATAAGGCTTAGCGATGGCATAGGATGTGCAATTAATCCAATCTTCTATGGGACCAGCCCTTGTTATCTGCGCTAAGTAGCCGATTACTGGATCTCCTAATGCCCCAGGAATTGGTGGACTCCACGTTACGTTGATGGAGTTACACTCTTCCAAAATTAGAGGATGTAAGGTTGGCTGATATGGAACATCTGAAGGAAGAAATAAGCTTTTCCACTTCAATTCATAGAATTGCTGTCCTTAATCTAATTAACCACGCCTAAGAGGCGTGTTGAGTAAACAAGAAGGACTTCAAAGGAAACCTCGAACTCGTTATTAATGGATACCAACCGCAACCTGAACCAAAATATATAGTACGTTTCAACGTGACTACCATCTATTTTTTCATTCGCAGCTAGCTAGTTTAAATCTATTTTTACCTTTACTGCTAAAATTTAGCTATTGTATAAGCTATGTATTGATATTGTCATTAACCTGCTAATAACATTTATGGCGTGGCGTATTAAATTGAATGAGTAACATACAGGGCTGAAACCCAGGGGATCATAATCTAACAATGGTATTCAATAAAATTACACGTTTACTTCACCTTGTGCTGTTCTCACTTTCCAGGCTGCGCTATTTTCGCTTCGTCCCAGCGTACTCCAAGCCGCAATGATGAATTCGTATTGTTTGCTGTATTGAAGCTGCAGTTGATAACTGGTAACTCCCGAGATGTTTATTTGGCTCCAGCTCTTTACAAGAGGTTGTACTACTCTGAAGTGAACGGAGTACATGAAAATATAGCAATTGTTATCTTCGGGGGCGCTCCAAGTTATAGTTACATTCCTTCCAGGAACTATTGAACCTTTGGATTCAATCTCCGGAGGGTCAGGTCGACCTATAAGCAATCAGAAAATTACTTCAAAAGAATCCTTGCATCCTAACTATAATTTTGTAGCTTACGGTTTTAAAAGAAAATTGCAAAATATTTTAATTTTTGACAATTTTATAATCTCTTGTTTTTGATCAAAGTCATGGCGGTTGATTAAAGTTCTGTATGATGTATTATCTATCTATTTATGTGCATGTACGTATGTATGTTTGTAGGAATGTATTTATGTGTCTATGTGTCTATTTATCTATCTATCTATTGATCTATCTATTTATCTTTCTGTCTATCTTTCTATCTGTCTCTCTATTTATCTATCTATCTATCTGTTGATCTATCTATCTATTTATCTTTCTATCTGTCTCTCTATTTATTTATCTATCAATCTATCTATCTGTCTATCCGTCAAATTCATAATCTCTTGTTTTTGATCAAAGTCATGGTGGTTGATTAAAGTTTTGTATCATGTATAGATCGTTTTCTGTCAAGTGATCTCATTTTAATTGGCCGCCATATTGGCGCACATACTTGCCTGTAAACATATGACCACGAATATAAGAGATCCTCGCAGCTATAAACACTACTTAACTAGTAGTTGAAATAAGACCTAAAAATATTCAGGCCCGTACGGGATTTGAACCCATAACCTCTGCGATACCAGTGCAGCGCTCTACCAACTGAGCTAACAAGCCAACTGGTAGTTTACTAGTTCAGTAGTGTTGATAGCTGCGAGGATCTCTTATATTCGTTTCTTCACCACAGTGCGCATGTGTGATTTTCATATATCTACAATCATTATTCATCACTTAGATGGTTTATTAGGACCCGACTTAATGACCAGCTCCCAGTTGGCTTGTTAGCTCAGTAGAGCGCTGCAGCGGTATCGCAGAGGTCATGAGTTCAAATACCGTACGGGCCTGAATTTTTTTCAGGTCTTATTTCAACTTATCTTCAACTACCATATGAATGTACGTATGTTTGGAGGAATGTATTTATCTATCTATCTTTTTATCTATCTATCCGTCTATCTATCTTTTTATCTATCTATCTATCTGTCTATCTGACTATCTTTTTTCATCTATCTATCTATCTATCTATCTACATTTCTATCTATCTATCTATATATCTATGTATCTTTTTATCCATCTATCTATCTATCAATCTATCCATCTATCCATCTTTCCATCTATCTATCTGTCTATCTATCTATATGTCTATCTATCTATCTTTATGTCTATCTATCTATCTAAATGTCTATCTATCTACCTATCTATCTATCCATCTATCTGTCTATCTATCTATCTCTCTGTCTATCTATCTTTCTATTTCTTTATCTATTAATTTATCTCTCTATTTACTTATGTACCTTTACATTTATCTATTTATGTACCTTTCTATTTATCTATCTATCTATCTATCTATCTATCTATCTATCTATATATCTACCTATCTGACTATCTATCTTTCAATCTACTTGTCTATCGATCTGTCTATCTTTCTATCCATCCATCTATCTATTTATTATCTACCTTTCCATCTATCTATATATCTATCTATCTATCTTCTGTCCATCTTTCTATCTGTCTTTCTATGTATTTATTTTATCTATCAATCGATATATCTATCAAGCATATTGCAATAAGTTATACATCGGCGAGACAGGAAGACGACTGGGTGACCGATTCCGAGAACACCTTCGCGATGTGGAAAGAAATGACAAGGACGCATCCAAGCCAGTCGCTAGACACTTTAATCTTCCTTATCATTCTAAACAGCATATGGCAGTTTGCGGCCTTTCCTTACATCTAGGCAGTTCGGAAAGCCGTAAAACACTAGAACAAAAATTTATATTCCAAATCGGCACCCTTAATCCCCACGGAATCAACGAGCGCTTTTCATTCAACTAATTTATTCCTGTTTTCTCGTCACCATATTCCCACCAATGGCGTAGCTCCACTTTCTACATATAAATCCACACACAACCCACAATTCCTCTAATCGCTCTGACGAAGGGCTAACGCTCGAAACGTCAGCTTTTTTACCCTTCACGGTGGCTAATTTACGTTTTCAACCCAGTTGTTAACACTAAATTACCTGCTATATATCTATCCGTCTATCTATCTATCCATTTGCCTATTTATGTATGTATGTATGCATGTATGTATGTATGCATGCATGCATGCATGCATGTATGTATGTATGTATGTATGTATGTATGTATGTATGTATCTATCTATCTATCTAACTATCTGTCTATCTATATGTCCATCTATTCATCCATCCATTCATCCATTCGTCTTTCTGTCCATCCGGCCATTACATAAACGAACAAGACAGGTTTTTACAGTTTTTGTCATATGCCAAGAGAGAAATTATCACCTACCGAAACTAATGGGAGCTGTATCGTTCGTCCACTCACTAAACCCCTTCTTATTAGCAGCTCTGAGGCGAACATCGATGCGGGTGTCATTCTTATCGATTAGCAAACCATGGAATGAACATGTGTTATTCGGCAGGAAGTTACTACAGTTACGCCAGTTACCACCTTGCTTTCTCATCTGAACTTGGAAATCCGACACTGAACCTCCGCCAGAATCAAGAGACGATGGCCCCCAACTTACTTCCACTTCCCCGCATTCCTTTGGTTCAACTTTTGTAATCGATGGTTTAAAAGGTACTCCTATAAACGTATTTAAGAAACGTTAATTTTTTTGCCTTCGTCGAACTCTTGTGATATCATTTTCAAAGGGATAGTAAAATCAGTTATTAACGGCACTTTTAAGTAGAACGGTGAGTTTGCTGTATGGCTCGCAAGTATGGCTTCGGATTGAAAAGTCCGTTTTAAAGGCCGTGCTTTGTATTCTTGGAATAAGCCGATTTAATCTTGCCTCTCACCAAGTAGAAATATTGAAAAGTGTACCAGAAAATCTGCTGAAACGATGGGAGTAACCTGGGAGAGTAAAAGAATATTTCGTACTGCGTTAGAGATCCGGAAAAGCTCTGGTGATACTTATGGTTCTTGGATATCATTATCTTAAGAACAAAACACATTAAAAAAAACAACAACAACACAGAATCATTACCACGTTCCGTTCGTATGGACTCCAGAGACTTTTCACTGTAATGGTTATGTCCCTGTTGATTCCAGGCAATAACCATGATGTCGTAATTTTTGCTGCAATTTAACAAGAGACGATACCCGCTCACGTTTGACCTTTTCAAGTTGATCATATTCCACCCACTCCTTTTGTCTCTGTAGTGAATTGTATATCGTGTTATCGGGCAGCCGTTGGAGAAGGAAGCATTCCACGAAAGTTTAGCACTGCATCCAAAGGGAACCGCGTTTACAAGAAACGGACCTGGAACACCTGCAATGCAAAAACACAGTTACTGCATTATCATCATTTTCATTGCTAATGATAATTTTCTCGTATTTTAACTGATCTTACTACTATCTTTGCAGTATGCTAACTTGACATTCTTCACTCCAAATGTGGACCAATCTCGTTTCTTGTGGATTTATTTAAACTAAAATAAGCCACCAACCGAAAGAATAGACTTTCCACTCACCATTACCATTTGTATATCCAAGTGAAAAAAATTAAATGTGATTCCCTAGCTTACCTGATGTAGTTATCAAAACTTCTTTGGCCCAATGACTAACTGATGATGAGCCATCGGAATATTTAGCGCGGATATTGAATTCATAGACTGTGTTTATCTGAAGTCCGATAAATGTGTATGACATTACTTCCCTTGGGACACTATAGTTCCATCTCGACTTTCCGCTTGCTGATCTAAGTGTAAGTTCATAACCAAAGATAGAATTGACTCCAGGCCCTGTTATGGGTGGGGCACTCCACTCAACTGTTATTGCACTTCCACAGTCGGTTGATTTCGAACTCAGAATTTTTGGAGGCGATAGTATTATATATTCCACTGAAGAATAAATTATACAAAACATTTTTGGTGGCTGATTGGCTAAAATAATATGGGTATGGTTAAACGTACTAACAAGTTAGCGGATGGATGGATTGAGTGATGGATGAAAAAGGGGAGAAAAGATGAAAAATCAATATCTGACCTTATTTATTACCTTTACAAACAAGATATTTCAGGAACATTTGTCCTGTCCTTCAGAAAAGAATGGAATCAGACATGCTGTACTTATCACTTTTTCTTATGACACGACCTTGAAACCTCCATTGCCAGTGGTAGAAATGCAATTTGTTATAATCCAGGCCGTTCGCATGACATTTTAATGTGGCATTTGACAAGCCTGATTTAATTTGACGATATCTTGTAGTAAGCTCTGGAAGAGTTGGTGGACCTACACGAGAGAAAAAGTTATGTTTACAACAAAAAATAATATCATTGGTTTCTGCTTATAACTGGATTTCTATTTAGACAGTAATGGCAGCAGTTTTTGAAACCAGCAACGCTATTAAAAATAAACAAGCGATGATAATAAGGATAACAATAGTAATAGTTAGAAAAAGGGCCATAATGGCGATTAAAATGATGAATAATTAATAATGGTAATTTTGGTACTCAGGGCGTGCAAATACGTGTTCATTTTTCTTTATCAGAAGGCAAACAATTCGTGTAATATATCGCGCGCTGGATATGAGTTGGCTATAACCAATCTCGTTTCCAATAGGCGCAAATGGAATAATTTTTCAATTAAATTTAATTAAATCCTGAACATTTTCATTTTTGGAGCCTTGTTTCAGCTCCCTAACATTTGGCGCAAAGCATGTTCATATAAGGTGACTCTAAGAACACTAGATATGCAAACAAACACAGTTATTTGTCACTTTACCTAACTTCATTAGAACTAAATAAACAAATTTATTTATCATTCATTCATTATTTCATTTATCTATTGGATAAGTGAATGAAGTGAGAAGCGACGGGAAAAAATAAATTGATAGATAAAGCTCCCTCACATGTGACTGATACTTGAATATTACGCCTCCTTGTGAAAAACTTGTTCTTGGCTTCACAGGTAAAGTACGCCCCGTGAAGCTTGTCCAATTCAGAAAAGTGCAATGATGAATTAATATTTTCTGCCCGTTTTTCTTCCTGAAGGGAGACTGAAAGGTTAAGATCCCCATCTCTGACTTCCATGCCATTCATGAACCACTTGACTTTTGGGAGAGGCCAACCAGTCACGTTGCGAAAAAAGATACAGAACCCTTTGCCATTCGAATTGATGGATTGTCTGTTCAAGAGAAAAGCAAAAATCGCCTTTAAATTTGTACTGAAGGGAACAGTTATAGTCGTTATTGATTTTTGAAAACGACGTATTCTCGAAAGCTATGCTGGGAAAAGTTTAACTTCCCAACTTTACTTCAGCAATTTGTAGATAAATTATCCATTTAAAACTGAGCTTACCCAACAACTTTGAATATACTGGCTGTGCGTTTTAATGTGTGAGGAAGAAAAAAAAAATTTAAACAGAGCTTTGTCTCAACAATTTAGACTTTTCGTCCACAATGAACCAGACCAGGAACTAAGCTTTCGACATACCTGCTGTGGTCACTGCTCCTTGTAGTTTTCCACGGGATAAGAACCTTACGCACGCATGCCCAAAGGATGCAGTGAAGCATTTCGAACGCCGGCAAGGAGTATATTTTCCATTGGGAACAGAAATTTTCACTAAATTTTAAGGGAACGCACCTGGATTGAGCCTTAGAGCTGTTTTCTGCTGATTGGATGTGTATAGGAAGCGCTATTTTACTCTAATGGACTAGACTTCTCAATGAGCTATTCTCTGCACCCCTAGCTCTCTTTAGTTTGGACGATTATTACTGAATGTGAAGTACACTACTTAATAATCTCTGTCGCTTAATTTACACCAATAGTCTTACCAACAGCCGCGATAATCTTGCTCACCATGGTATCAACATAGTCAAAAATGTAATGGAACACTTCCAAATAAATCACGTCTCCTCTTTTCTCTGTAATTCGTTGAAGCCCCCCATGGTGCCGTGCATAAAAAGCCACGTCGACACCAAAAAGGCGAACACCTGTTTCTATTAATTCCCGCGCGGCTTCATCTGGAGTATAAGGTGGCGTATTCTCCCCATGAGTAATCAAAATTGCAATTTTCGAAACGTTCTTCCGAGAAAATGGAAACACTCTCTCTGAAGTCACTCTTAAACCTTTGTATGTCATTGTTCTGTCGCCTTGTAAAGGCGTAAGAAGATCCAATACTTTGGAAAATTCAGGTAAACTGAATATTTTGGAAAAGTTTTTTACCACAGTGGCTTCTTCGCCGAATGACACTATCGCAGTATTAAGTTTTGGACATAAATTAAAGATCTGGCCAGTGACCGCTTTGACAAAATATCGTACCATCCACAAGTCAATGTCTTTCACAATTCCACTTACATCCAAAATTAAAGCTATGTCAGGCCCATTCTCGCACTGGCTATCAACTGTAAAAAATTTTAAAAAGATGATTAAAGGACTGAAAATGAATCCTATGCAAGATAAATTCGCATAAATTTCAAATGGGTTTTCCCGAAGCATAGGGCAGAAGGACAGACGGAATAAAAAAGAAACTGCTTTCAAAGCTCGAAGATAGTTTGATCGGAATTGTAATTACTTTTTCTTTTTGATGAAGATGACAACCAAAACCAAAGCAAGGGCGTTTATCGAAATTTTTTGTTTCAATCAGATTTTCTAATAAATAATCTGCCATAACTGAGTTTCTGGTATTTCTGAGAAAGAGGGTGGGAGAGGGCGGGTTTGGCAACATACCTGAAAAAAGAATAAAGAAGGAAAAGTTTGCACTTAGTTTCGATGATTTGCCTCTCGTTAGGGAAAAATAACTCGAGGATCAATTACAAAGAAAATCATGATATATTAAAGGCACAGTTTTGGTCTCACGATAACACAGATAAAGAGCACACGTCCTTTATTCAAATTGTTTTTACATACGCGTCACTGCAGGTTTTTGAGCTACCAAAACACAATAAAAAGCGATGAGGAGTCGACAATATTCCATCGTTATCACCTTTACTTGAAGGAATACAATCAAGAAAGATCTGAAAGAAAGAAAATAGACATAGTTTTCTTAAGAGATATACGAACCTTAAACCCTGAAAATAGAAGCTTCAATCTTATTCAAATATTTCTTCATTGAAAAACTGAAGGAAGGAATCAAATTTTCATTAAGAAAGAACTCTTGAATATCAACAATATATTCCTTTTATTTTATATGGAAAACCCGTCGCATTTCTTGGTTGCTCAGGACGTTATGATTCTTTTCTTTTTGACAAAACATCACAGTTTACTTGGCTAAATTTGCTTTTGTTCTCTGAGTTTTTAAAGTGATTCATGATTTGAAAAGGAAGAACGTTTTTGAAGTTTTTGGTGTGCCAGTTTAGGAGAGCAAATTAAGTAAGTTCGCGATTAAATATTAAACACACTGAAATTGCCACAAGCTTGAATTCCTCGATATAAAGTTTTATAATTCCGTCAAGGTTTTGGGTCAGTTTTATTCCTTGAGGAACGATAGATTTACAAAGCAAAACAGTTTCAACACAATAATTTCTCTAATTTAATAGCACGTTTTATTCGACGGAAGCAAAGCCGTAATTTTCAATGAAACCTGAAAGTATCGGTGCTGTTCAAAAACTGCAGTCAAATGCTAAGGTAATGCTCAACGTGCAGATGTTGGAAACTCTTTGTGTATGCTTGTATTTAGGTTAGGTACATGGTTCCATGGAGAATAAAGAGGTTTTCCTTTACTTTAAGTTTCTGCTTTTGATCATGCGAAAATCTAAAAAGGTGACCAGGAAACCTAAATTTATCTTTTGATATCGATTAAAGGTAAGCAAAGAAATTACTGGAAACAAAAATATTGCCCCTTCTTTCAGTTCTCCATTCAGCAAAGTGAAAAAATTGAATTTATTATGACAAGACACATTTTTTTTGGTTTGTTCTGACGCAGAATTTTGGGAAAAGAAAACAATGTTAAGAGGAAGTTTATTTTAGCAGTTTTCCATTGCCAGGAACCTAATGCGCATCTCTTTATCGTAAAATTTCGTACCTTGATGTATTTAGTTCAACCAGGTTTGTCCTGTATTGATAAGAATAGATCACAATCTACAGGTTTTCCTCTGTAATTCTCAGCGTTTGAGAGCACCTATTTTGCCTTCTCTCAGAGATATATTATTTAGCATATTACGGTCAATAATTGAAATAGACAGGAACATAAGTTCAATTATAATAAGCAGGTGATACTTTATAGCCCGTCAGTTACTGAGGATGAAATACTTCTCGATTGGAGGATCTATAACACAATCGTCAACAGAGAAAGTTTTTTTGACCTATTGATATTAAGTGCCCATTACCTGTTCGGTGTTTTAAGTAAGGGAACATTCTATTTTGCATTTTCCAACAACCTCACTTTCTCATCCTTTTTTGAAAGTGATCGTAAAAGTTCTAGGACAAACGAACATGAGCGCGGCATTGTTCATCACGATCATGATTTTTGTATGTCATATTTTTGTTCTTTAGATCTTCTTTCCCGTTTCAAAAATTTTGAAGCTTGGGTTATCAACTTCACAAATGGTGTGCTTCAAAAGTCAGAAGTGCACCGGTTAAACCGGTGCTGTCGATTCCTCGAAAGGAGAAAGATTAATTCGCATGTCTATGTGATAGAATTGAGAAAGTCACTCTTGCCTGACGTAATTTAAGTCTGCTGCACAATTATTAGTCACAATTCGCTTCGGTAGTCACTTGTAGTCGGACAAAGAGCAAAATTGGCAGCTTATCGAGAGTAAAAGTCTGGAACATTCTTCATGACAGGAGATCTTTCAGCACGACTAGAGATCTCTGTGCCACAATGGTATAAAGAATTTGCATCACGAGAAAGGAAAAAAGCATTGGCAAACGTGCCAGCTGTACTAACCCGGAAGATCGAACAATTTTCCGCCGGGGTTCCCCATCTCTGATTGCAAAATTAAATTGGAGACTTTACGCTTTTGTTTTACAAAGCAACTTTGAAAATTGAACAAAATTTTATGCGGCAGGTGCACAATCACTAATTTGTTCACATAATTTTTATTTTCTCCACATATTATCTTGCTATCAATACAAAGATGTAGATGTGATAATAGAGCTTTACGTTTAATTGTTTAAAAGTTATTGCTTTGTTTAATGAATATGCCTCGAACGCGAAGCTCATTTGATTGATTGGCTGGGCCTTTCTAGCGAATTTAAAACAAGATGTAGTCTTTTGATATGTAATTACTAAAAACTCCAAGAAATTTACGTTAATTTCGATTTTTAACGAGCAGTTACATATTACTTTTCCATAATTGGCGTGTTGCCTTTGAAATTTGACACCAAATTCACTTTCGTTCGTTACAGACAATTTGACATATACATAGACCGGCACATCACAGCGTGAGTACCGCAAAGATGAAAAATGTTTCGTTGTGGATCATGTTGCCTAAACTTCCTGTGTCCCCTAAGAGCTGATGATGTCTTCAAATACATGTATGACTCGAACACATGGAATACGTGAGCCAAGAAATAAGAAACATCAGCTTGTCCACGCCTTTAAATTGCAGTAAGTAGAAAACCTTTAATGAAGTCAGGGAAAATGCACAAAAAACAATTTATTCTTTTGAATGTAAACTGTAACTCGCCTTCTTTCGAGTGTGCAACTGCTTCCGTTGAAGCTAAGTGTTACCGCTTCCGAGAAAAGCTACGAAATATTTTCTGGTTAGGTTGATGCTCCCGCGATTAGTTCTTTTACACAGAAAATTATAGTTAGAGTTTCAGTTCAAGATAAGACCCGGAGTGATCAAGATCGTTTTTGAATAGAAGACAAGTTAGACTGTAATCCTCGATAAAGTAATCAAGACCCGCGAACGTTGGTAAGCAATGACTTGTTTTGTGATTATGTTTTCTAGCTCGTAGTCGTTACTCAAAGCGAAACTTATCGCTCGTTTTTTACCTTTCTTTTGGTTCTTTTAATTACCACGGGCTCGTTTCTAAAATCGAGATTATTCTTAAGCTATGATCACAATACTTAGGTGATTTCTTTACAAAATAATTTCAGTTGACCACTTCGATGTAATAACGCCCCAAGGAATAGGAAAAGGAATAGAGAAAGAAAGGATCCTATTTTGGTTTGTTGTTTATCGCATGCGCGTGTATCAACCCGGGAATCGAGTTTTCAACTCTAGCTTAAGAAGAAACATCTACAGAGTGCTTTAGAAAAAATTGCAAGTTGAGTTCAGGAAAAGTTTGACCGAGGTTGAAGAGAAATTTCTTTGTACTGTTTAATCGTTGTGGAATGGTTTTAGTATGAAAACACTTGATGAGTAGAATGTAGCATGTACACGATTAGTGCGACCTTAAACAACGTGACTTAACACTGAGCATGTGTCACCCGAATAAGGTTTATGCCAATGAAGCAAGTCACCGTGAACCACGTACTCGATAAGAAGGAAAAAAGGTTCGGTCGTAGTCCAACAGCCGAGGAAACTTAAAACATTCCATTGTTTACCAACTAGCTTCATCAGGTCTATTTCATCTAGGAATTGCCTTCTCTGCTCTTCACCAGCATTTTCTAATTAACGAAAGATATAAAGAGAATAACACATGGGCGTGCGTTTACATGGAATTCCTCTTCGAGTGTTTAACTAGATAGCACACGAGTAAGATGTCGAGTTGAACAGGAGAAGAGAGATTCAAGATTTCAGTGTAATCTGAGAAAACATCACCGTAGGGAAGAAGCATGGCGGGTTTAATGAGTTCATTTTGTTCGCATCACTGACTTTTAATTTTAAACTTGATGAAAACGCACAAAAGAACGAACTGACCTTAATGAAAGACGGAAACGATGCAAACTCAACGAGAACGAATTCGAAGTGACTTTACTACGTAACCAACGTTTATGGTTTTTCCTTTTGTACTCACTTGTATGTCGGTATTTATTACCTTTTCATTAATCCTCTACTCAATACGTATTTGTTTCACTTATTGAAATTTATTGATTACCGAATACCCAGATTAACTTTTGAGATTTTCGCGTGCACTAAGTCTTTTTTTCCGATGAACTTTCGGCAAACAGATTTATACACTGATGTTCGTTTATTCGAAAGAGAGGGTTTGCTTTACCTTCTCTTTTTTATTTGTTTTAGAGAATTAAATTCCTCATTCTAAATACTCTGTCAACTATGATATGAAAAGAGATAACAACCCCGTTAGTTAATGTAATAGTTGCAGAAATGTTAGCATAAATATGCATGTTCCGTTGTTTTCAGTTTAAATTGCATTGCCCGCAAATCTTTGAAAACTGAAAAGCAATAAACGAATCTTTGCTGCTTTAAAACCTTATATGATCGAATCGCAATAAGTCAACTCTCCGAGAAAATTGACAGGGGCTCAACTTATCGTGAGTTCGAGTTAACGGGAGTCGGCAAAAATTGCCTAGCCAGAGGAAAAACAAGAGCTGTAAATCTATTGATGAAGGATCCGTAGGATGTACGTTTTAATGGAGTTTTAAAACGTCCCACAAATATGAACCACTTTTAACATGGAAATAATTATTCGTTTATCTATCATCTTATTAGTTTTAGTTTATATGATGCATCGCGTACACTTCGGTTACTAAGGAGTACCAGTCCATGGTTACTTTTCAATAATAATTGTTAAGTAGACGATGCCATTCTTGCTTTAAAATTAGAGTTTTGTATCCTCATGATCGAATGCGTCGTTTTCAAAGTCCTCTCTCTCTGACCATTCAGCATCTTGAAGCATTCCGCAAGGTTTTCACTTCCTTTGTTTTACGTTGATCAGGCCTCTGCACGTTATAGCCCAGAGCTCATTATTTCCATCTTGATCGAGAAGAAAATCATATTTTCTTACACACGGAGCTAATTCAGAAAGCTAAAAGCTCTGCTAGAGGGTCACAGAACATAAAGTTTCACCAACGCCTAGCTTTATGAACTTAAAAAACAATTTCTATAAGCCAGCCAATTAAGAAGCTGTACGTAGACATGACGACGACGCCTAAGTGAAAGATTGAGTAAAACACTCATGAATTTTGCGAAAGACTTGACGCGGTTACCATCTCAAACGGCGCCATTCCTTTCTTCAGAATAACGTGCGAAGACAAAGACAACTTGAAAATGGAAGATCGAACAATTTTCCGCCGGGATTCCCCATCTCTATTTCTGAAAAGAAAAGTGGAGATTTTACCCTTTTTTTTAGCACAGCAAATTTGAAAGTTTTGAAAAAAACACTTATTTCTTCATTAAGAATTTTTTTCTCCTTGTATTAACTAGCTATCAAAGCAAAGATGTAGATATGACAATAAAGCTTTACTTTAACTTGTTTAAAAACTATCGCGAAGCTAATTTGATTGATTAGCTAGCCCTTTCTCGTAAATTTAAAACTAGATGTAGTCTTTTGATGTATAACTACGAAAAACCACAAGAAATTAACGTTAATAATCTTACCGAACATTTACATATCACGTTCGATGCATTTGAAATTTGACACTGAATTCACTCCCCTTCATTGCGGAATAATTTGACATGTTAATTAGGTAAGGACATGTCCTAAGAACCTCACGTATACGCCGCCTACTGCTGAGTTAAAATACTTGAGAGAAATATGTCAGTGATGTACAGCCCAGAGATCGATAAGAATTTGTACGCCATCTCTATACTTGTACGACATTACAGAGAAACCTTCTTAATCACTTGCACCATCTGTCTAAAATTTAGACCAGCACATCACAGCGTGAGTACCGCAAAATGAAAAATATTTCACTTTGGATCATGTTGCCTAGACTTCCTGTGTCCCCTAAGAGCTGATGATGCCTTCAAATACATGTATGACTCGAATACATGGAATACGTGAGCCAGGAAATAAGAAACATCAGCTTGTCTGCGCATTTAAACTGAAGTAAGTAGAACACCTTTAATGAATAATCTTGGTCAGGGAAAATGTACAAAAAAAAAATTAATTATTTTAAATGTAAATTGTCACATTTCCTTTCGAGTACTTTTGAAAAAATTGCAAGTTGAGTTAAGGAAGATTGAAGAGAAATTTCTCTGCCGTGTTTAATCGTTGTGGAGTAGTTATAGAATTTAAACAAACGACGAATGGAACGCAGCATATTGGAAAGGAATCTACAAGGACTGATCTTCTTTGCGAGGCAGGGCGAATTTAAAGGAGCTAATTCGAGATTGGACGTGCATCAAGCATTAATTTTTCACACTAACTTGAGTCAGTGAAGCATTTTCCGATTATATTATCCTAAAAAAAAATTCATAACATTCTTGGAAAGACTACAACTCTTCAAGGCCATCTATTATCCCATCATCGTCAGAGAAATTGAGAGAAATTTAGAACACAGTCATTTCTGCGTAAACAAAGCCTAGATGTTTAGGTTTTGAATAACTCTTTATCGGTGGAAGTTATATTGCACGAAAATTACTCATGATTTACGTACAATACACCTAGAGCAGTTTTATTAAGGCTTATTCACCGAAAATTTGGTAGATATTCGTCGAAAGTTACCGTGGATAGTGACTTACAAATGACGTATGCTTTAGCAACCTTGTATGATACAAAATGTTAAAATATGTTGGTTTGTCATTTCAAACAAAGTCATATCGAAAAGAAATGTCGAAAATTTAACTATAGTTTATTTTCAGAGCCGCAAGAAAAAATGGTTCTGCAGAACTTTTGTTCAGGGAGGCATAAATTTCATTTGAGGTTAGGAAAAAGGAACTTTTTAAAGGCGTCACGTCTTCGTGAAGCAAATTCAAATATTTCCCAATCTTTCGCGAGCCAAAAACTGGCAAAAATTTTGGCGGCGGTCGCATCGAACTTTAACTAAACTTCATTGATTGACACCGTACGTCAACCACAAACCAATCTCCCTCTAATGAAAGATAAATAAAAATTCTCGCTCGAATTA